TTTCATTAAAATTTATTCGGGAAAACCAAGGCTCCAATTTTTAACAACTTTTAAAGGAAAAAACGGAGATTACGACAGTCACCTTTAGCCGGATGGAACGCGATCCGGAGGTGCGGCCACAGCAAACCAGACGGTCGGAAAACAGGAGTGCCATGCGTGCCTGGAAGCCACGTTTAGAGAGCTTCTGCAAGAAGCCGACCCTTATCAGACTGGAGGTCTCATTCGATCGCGCGATAAAGGACAAGAAGTCACGCAGATTTCTCTGATTAACCAGCGGATCATCAGGACTGAAGGTTCTTTCTCCATTCATGATGTGGGCAGATGGCATGGGGAAATGTAAGTAGCGCAGATCGGGACAGAATTCGGAGGTCAGGAGATAGGCCTCGGCAGCCCTGTATATGGATTCTGACTTTGAAATTGTCTTCTGTAGTTGTGTTATAAGAACTAAGGGGAGCAGAAGTTAAAATACGCCGTACATTAGTTCAACGGTTGTAGTTGCTAGTGGTAGTTTTATCTAAAACCTCTAAAAGCTAAGTTCCCAAATGCCTTTCTAGGGGAATGCAAAATGTGATAATAAATCGCTTTCAGAATGTTACCAAAACAGAGAAGAAGCATGTGAAGACGTGTCTGGGCGGTGATTGGTCGCTTCAGTAGCCATTTGAAACGGGCGTATGCCCCGCACTCGGCTAGAATTAGGGTATTAGGCAGGTAATACACGTAATTCCATCTTTCTCTAAGCTGCAGATGCGCAGGTCATTTGTGCATACACTTTTTAAACAGAATAGCCAATGGCCCGTTGTGTACCCTAAGCCAGCAGTCCCGACTAGGGCAATGGTTACATCTGCAAGCATTGGATGAAGTTGAGGTGAACTTGTAGGATATCGAATTCGGTCTTTCAAACAGATAAAGAACAAAGGTAACTGCCTGGTGAAGGGCACAGTAATATTAGACTGCGGAAGCTAGCAACAAATTCACTGTCCGGAGAATAGACACAGTAAGGGGACCTGACAATTGAACTTTAAAGAGTCGTTAAAACAGAGGTCAACCTTACTTAAATGTCACCGCACCAAACAATACAGTGTAACAGGAATGCCCTGCCTCCACGTAATACGGCCTGCCCTTTGCCAAATTTCAAGACAGGCAACCATTCACGTATCCCATACCTAACGGCAACAGTTACCCGATCTGCCGTTTCATTTACATTAAGAGTTAATAACTACGAGGTGTTCGCTTTCTATTTAAAGAAAATGATTAATTCCTTTATGCCATAAAGAAGATAGCACACAGGACTCGCTTCATTTCACAGTGGCTAAAGACAATTTTTATGAAGAGTGGAGCCATGGTTAAGGAGTATAATCTGTTCTGGCACCGAGCTCGTCATGTTAAACACTCGTTTTGCGAAAATAATAAAATAATAGAAATAAAAACATTAATATGAAATTTTATAATGTGAGTATAGTATATGTAATTATTATAAGTGTTTTTCACGTTTTTCGGTTGTACTTTACCCCATGGACAGTCGTGGCTGCCATGGGGGAAACGATGGAGAGGTCAAGAGGGAAGCTTCACCTTTGAGTCAGGCGGGCTCTCTCTTGCTAATTTCACCCCAGTGGGACTAGATTGTGGTTGTGAGAGCTCGTAGCCAATTAAACTGCGCCAGTTCACTGATTGGCTGCAGGCGACCGAGGACCCGCCCTGAGAGCAAGACTCAACGGCGGATACAAGCACACACACACACGCACTGAGACCTCGTTAACAAAACGGAAGTTCGTCAATCGAAAAAACTTGTCTCCGAGTGGCCCGCTCGTTACCTGAAATGCCCGTAGGTAGGGCTGCTCGTCATCCGAGGGTCCATTGTACTTTATAAGTAGCGTGGTTACATAGAAAAACACGATGGTTTGTGAATAGACGTTTTATCTTCCTGAAAAACTTCATGAATGTAAACTTCCAGAAGCCCCAAAATATATTTTTTCGAGTATTAATTTGAAGGAGACGTTACCTGGTATCACACGAGAACAAAAATATTATTTGTGTGCAAACCTTAAACAAATATATTTCAATTTATAGGGGCACCGAAGGGCAAGCTAATAAATGCATACGATGTATATATCGTCGATTTGGGCGGGGCTGAGGACGGGGGTTTTAACGCGCCTCCCTCCTGTCGCCAGAAAAATGTTTTTGCAACGGGAAGTCCACTTTATCTCAGGTTTAAGCCTCCGAATAAATTGTTTTGTTAGACGACAGCGTGGTCAACAATTTATTGATGAAAAAGTAGATTTTGAAAAGTGGGTACCGTAAATAAAGTTGGAAAGTCAAAATTTTTCATCTCCGGATTCCCGGTGCTAACAGGATAGTAATTTGTATCACGTGTTACAAGCGACCGGAAGGAAACGCGCCAGTAATTCTATATCACAGTGTGACTAAAATGTATTGGGATCGTGGTAAACCACAAATAATTCAGTAATCTACTAGGGAATCTTTCCTACTAGAAAACATATAATAGAACTTCGAATAAAATTTAGTGAGATCGGTCACTGACTTCATAACATTTAAAGAAGACGCAATCGTACACCAAATGAATACCAACAGCGGTATTCTGTGCATGTTTTCTATAAAATACATAAAAATAAAATAATCACATTACTATGGAGGTATCCTCTGTCAATTAAAAATGCATCTTTTATTAGTACTCCATCGAGTTTCGATTCACAAACTCCCGTTTAGTTAAGAAACCATCAGTGCGTGTGTCTGTGTCCGCGTTGAGCCTTAGTCCCGGGGCGTGGGTTCTCGGTCGTCTGCAGTCAGTCAGTGAATTGATGCAGTTTGATTAGATACGTTTCACAAGACGAGTGATTCAGATGACGAGCTCGTAGTCGGAACGGATTAAACTCGTTAACCGAGGCCATACAGTCTATTGGAACAATTTGGCATCTTATTCAGTAGTAAAAACTTGCGTAAGTAATTCTTCCTAAACAAAAAACACATTTCAGGATTTAGATCTAATATTTTATGCTGTACCCCATGGACGGAGGATTATGTAAACAAATATATCTGGGCGGAAGAAAGTCCTACCGATACACTCCGCGCGATCAAGATGGTCCTCTGGGTAGAGATTTGAAAGCCGGATGAAGGCATTCAGAAGACATCTGAGGCGCCGGGCCGGTTGGCATAACAGCAGCTGCATGGATGGCAGTGGAAGGGAGGACGAGGACTGCGGTGGTGGTTTCATAGGCAGATTGCCATCGTCTGACATGCACTCGCATTCCAAGGTTCTCGCTGGATAACCTGACCCGATGACGTCGTAGTCTGTCGATGGCGATGGCATGGTTAGGGTCC